TTGTGTATATTACCCCTGAGGCTTTGCACGACAAATTTTTAAAGACAACAAAATATTTCAAGTCAAACTAAAAGCAATAAACGTATTACTACTAATACTAGTAGTATTAGTGCTCAGTAGTAGTATTAGATGTTTACAGTCTAACTTTGCAAAACAATATTAATTACTTTACAATTTAATTCTAAAGTTAGAAAATATTAACACCTGTGTAAGACTAAAAGGTCCAATATTAAAATTTAAAATCGTTGGTACGATGTGATAGATCTTTCTTTTCAGAAGTATTCTCTAACTTTAAGAAAAGGAATCTTCCCTAATGGCTGTATTATTAAATAAATCTAAGCCTAAATTATTTTCCAGAACACTTCACACTTAGCTAGCTTAAGTGTATAAGTTTCAAATTTATACTATTACTAGCTAAGACAGAATGTGGCATAAACCGCATTTAAAAAGAGAAAAGAAAAAAAAACTAGGATAAAAGTAAAAGTTACCGTACGTGTTACTGTTACAGTATTAGTTAGTACTTCCAACTCACACAGAAATAAGAAAAGAACCTTGGAGTTGGACGCTCAATGAAACATGTTCAGAATAATGTGGTACTGGACGTGCATGGTATAGTGGTAGTAATGTGTTTTTTACATCAATGCTTATTTAATTTTCAGTGTTAAAATCTTAGCCGGTTAAAATTAAATAACTTAAGGCGGTTAAGTTAAATACTTAAAAATATAATTACTGCTAGCAGTATCACTACCACTGACGAAGAGTCAAGTCCTATTCCTGAACGTCTGGCTAATTATTCTGTCATGTGAATGTAGCGTAACACCTCGAGTTCAATTTCAAGCATGAACTCGCATTTTTGTTTTTGCAAATAAATACTTTACAATTTACGAAATTATGTTATAACCTTCCGTAAATAGTAACATTATTACAAAATACCCGACATCCAAATACACGAGTGCACGATAAAAATGAAAAGGTGGCATTACTAATAGGATTAGAGAGTTAAGTTTATTATTATCATATTGTTACGACAGCGGAAGTCACGTGACCCTGGTAACAAGTAGTGAGTATCTAGAAGGTTCCTGAAGGCTCGAGTGTTTGCTAGACGCCCTTCATTTTGTATATATAAGACCGGGGAGAAGAGACGGCATAGATAATTGCAGACAGACAGAGACGGATAGTTGAGTCAAGCGCAGTAGTGACCGTAACTGCCCAGGGGCCCGGGCGAATGAAACCTGGTTATACTGTAAAGCATCTTTAGGCTATATCTTCATTTAGTGATAAAAACCATAGTTTTTGGCTTTTCTTTGCATATAGACGCTTGATACATTAAGAACGACTGAAATAATAATTTGAGTAATAATTAATATGTATTTGTTACTTTATAGATTGAATAGATATTTGTTGTTACTTTATTAACGTTTTTACGCTTATATTGTGAGGTAAAAACGGCTACTGCTATGATTTTGTCTGATTTATAAGCTCGTTGCTGTCCTAATTTAGGATCTTCTTTTTTGATAAATTCCTGTGTAGCTTTGTGCATAACTACAAACAAACGAACAAACTATTGTTTTTTTTTATAGAGTTTTTATAAGAGTAGCCTGTTTTGTTAGGAAACCAGTTAAATATAGAATAGTTTGGTAGAAAAGAAAGAATTCGGGTTTCCTTATATGTATATAATTATATCGAATTCTCGGTTATCACAGGAAGAGCAACAGATTGAAAATCCAAACAACGCAATCACGAAGGATGATAAAGATAAAACGTAAACTTCCTTTAGACAGTGATGCTACTTGGTAAGTGTAATCCTGTGTTGAAACACTGGTTAGATAGTAAACATATGCGCTCATTCTACGTTACCAATATATTAGGGAACTTAAAAAGTGAGTTTATTCAACTACTGGGCAATAAGGATTACAAACAAAGTATTCAAGAGGTAAAAAATAGTGGAATGTATACTATCATTCCAGCTCCTCATATAACACACCAAGACCAACTTTCAGTAACTGTGCGATTTATTAAACAATCCGTGAATTTTTAGGATCAGATGTAGCTGATAGTGAAGTTGCAAATATATATATGTAAAACGTTATAAGTAGCGGGACAGTCTCAGCGACCCTCATTTGTCCATGTTTCCCTTACGCCAAGATCAATCCTCAGGGACAATTCCCGATCTGCTATTCTGGATACAACGTTAGCTGATATTCCCGAGTCTGTCACTGAAGAGAGGTCAACATCAGGAACCTACGCAACATCGGTAAAAGTCCTACGACCGGGAGCAGACTTCTCATGGACTTGACACTACTGATCTATAAATAACCCTCCAGCAGCAAACTTTCATTCTCAGTCATGAGAACTTTTATATCAATGAAGCACTTTTTATTGTGTTATGTAACTTTAATTTTATATCATTTGTAATGTATGTGATTATGTTTGTTTGTTTGTTTTCTA